TGTGAGACTCTTATCTCCAGTAAAACCACCAGAAAACCAGAAGTGGTGCTGTGGCTCTAAAAATGGCAAAGAAAAGGAAAGAAAACCCTCTTTGCCTAAAACAAATATCATCCAAATGGCAAATTATCCAAGGTGCTGTATCTCTAAAGTTCTTAATCCACTCTGCAAAATTTCTTTCAGCCAAGTGGGAAGGTAAATATATTCTTGACACAGGCTCATTTCAACAGGAGTCCATCAATATGGAAAAGTTGTAAGAGATCTTAGTTGGCCAACAGAGATGGGTCTGGGAGCTGTCATTGGGGGAATTATCATGTATTTCATTGCTGAGGATGATTGTCATTGACATAATTGGCCTTTCCTATTTCTGTTTCTGTTGATCACCTGTGGGGGTGAACATCCTTTGCTGAATTTATCTGCTTTTTCTTTTTTAGTCTGTTGTAGGGCTTGAACTCTAAGCCTGGGCGCTGTCCCTGAGCTCTTCAGCTCAAGGCGGCGCTCTACCACTTGAGCCACAGCGCCACTTCTGGTTTTCTGGTGGTTCATGGGAGATAAGAGTCTCATGGACTTTCCTGCCCGGGCTGGCTTTGAACTGCGAACCTCAGATCTCAGCTTCCTGAGTAGCTAGGACAACAAGCGTGAGCCTCTAGCGCCCAGCTTGAATTTATCTGCTTTTGTTTATTGGGTCCTACAAAGGGTTCAAACTTCCCTTCAGAGAAACAACCCGGCTTGTGAGAGTCAATGGCCACCTTGGGAAATGAGCAGCAGGTATACCCCCAACTACCATCATGCATGCACTAGAAGATCCCCCCGATTCTAGCACATTCTCATGAAATACTCATCAAATGATACCCTCTCCCCTCCATCCTCAGACAAAATAAGGGTTTCCATAGGAGTTTGTAGGGGGTTCTATCTCAGGAAGCTGAGATCTGAGGATTGCAGTTCAAAGCCATCCCGGGCAGGAAAGTCCTGGAGACATTTAATTTCAATAAACCACCAAAAAAGTCACAAATGGAGCCATAGCTCAAGGGGTAGAGTGCTAACCTTGAACAAAAAATAAAAGCTCAGGGGAAGCCACCAGGTTCTGAGTTCAAGCCCCAGAACTAGCAGAAAAATAAACAAAAACATATATTGGTACACATCTCTATTGCACACATAAAAATGTAGATCTGTATATACATACACACAAATATACATGCATACTAAAATATAAATTATATTTTCACTGAATTTCTTCCTATCTTTATTTATTTATTTATTTATTTTGCCAGTCTTCGGGCTTGAATTCAGGGCCTGGGCACTGTCCCTGAGCTTCTTTTGCTCAAGGCTAGCACTCTACTACTTGAGCCACAGTGCCACTTCCGGCTTTTTCTGTGTATGTGTTACTGAGAAATTGGACCCAGGGCTTCATGCATGCTAGGCAAGCACTCTACCACTGAGCCACCTTCCCAAGCCCTTCACTAAAGTTCTTAAAAATCAATATCAACAAACACAAACGACTTAGCAGTAACCCTTTTGAAGTGGTTATGATCTTAATATTTGGAGAACTTATGGAAGTTGAACAGTTTCAAAAAGCCAAGTTCAATCAATCAATCAATCAATCAATAAGCCAAGTTCAAGCCTGGCGCTAGAATCCTAGCTACTCAAGAGGCTGAGCTCTGATGATCACATTTCAAATCCAGCCCAAGCAGAAGAATCCATGAGACTCTTATCTCCAATTTAATCGGGGAAAAGCTGGCCAGGGGAGCTGTGGCTCAAGTAGTAGAGCGCCAGCCTTGAGTATAAAAAGCTAAGCAAGAGATGCGTGCAAGCCCCTGAGTTCAAGCTCCAGTACCAGAATGCGTGCGCGCGCGCGCGCACACACACACACACACACACACACACAGAGAAAAGCCAAATTCAGATGAGGGTGACAAGCAAGCATGTTCTAATGTAGGCAGGAAAAAGGAACAAGAAAATCAGAAGAGAGCAAAGAGGAAAATGGGTATAGGTAGCAACACTGATTGATTCCCTTTTTAAACAGGTAACCTCCGGCCTACCTGGAAATAATCTTCTAAATAAACCACCTCTGCAGCCTTTTTCTCTCTCCTTTTTTGAAGGAGAAGTAAAAGAAGACAAGAAGAAAAGTTGATTCTGCAGTCAGTGGTAGATGAGCTCTTATCACTCGTGAAACGTGAAACGGAAGATAACCGTGGGTAACCATTGGTAGATAAGTTCTCACGGCTAATAATGAAGAACACAACTTAGAGAGTAAATAACACCACTTCCCATTTTACCAGGAAGTAACCAGAGGCGGCTAAAAGATGTGACCTAGCAGGAGAGGGAGGAGATTGCTTCCAGGTGTGCCAGTTACCTAGGTAACACAGATACTGGGCAGAAAGTTAGGCAAGAGCTACAGAGATGTCTACACACAGGGACTACATGGCCCGGAGCAGACCTTAACATTCTAGCCTTTTGATCACTATGAGAAAGAGCGCAGATTCTCTCTGGTTACCTCCTTGGATGTCAGAGGTAAAAGGTGGAGATGTGATCTCCTCTGGGAGGAAGCAGCAGGCAGCTACTGTCTCTTGGTGGACAAGGTCTGGACAGAAAATTAAAAAATTGGATGACTGGGGTAGACCGGCTAGTTCTTATAGGGTCAGGTAACAAAGACAAGAATGTAGACAAGTGAAGACGGGCAGGCTACTTAACTTCTGTTGACTTTCTGCTGATGTAATATCAGCTCCTTTTATTCCTCTCCATGGTCCCTTGTTCCCCAGACTGGCTGAGTCCCAGGGATCTAGATGCTTATTGCTGGGGTGGCTCATCCAAGTTGGTATTCCTGGAGTTTTGAACTCAAAGCCTGGGCATTGTCCCAGAGAACTTCTGTTCCAGGCTAGCACGTTGAGTTACAGTATCACTTCCAGTGTTTGGCAAGTTAATCAGAGATAAGCATCTCTTGATCCATGCTTCCAGACTGGCTTTTTTTGCTGGTTAGTTCGGAGATGGAGGGCTCAGGGATTTTTCTGCCCAGGGGTTGGCTTTGAACTGTAATCTTGGCCATAAAAACCCTTTATTATTTCCAAGGAACAAGGAGATCAAATAGAAGTAAGTAGAGCTTACCCGCGCCTTGTCAAGAATTAACCAACAAATATTCTGCCATGACAAAACTCGGTAGATGTGATGGGCTAAGTTTTAGCACAGATATAGTATTGATTTCTGGTGATCCTAACGAGGCCTAAATCAAGCAAAGTTCACTACATCTGTTTCGCTAGCATAACATAGCCAGGTCAGAGTGGGTCAGATTGCAAATCTAATACTACAAAAAGAATGTCACACCAGAGTCTTAGTGTTTGCAAATCCAAAGCAATCTTTCACCAAGAATCAGCTACCTGTGATAGAGTCAAGCTAGAGTCTAGTATTTTTTTTTTTAACCATGGTGGAGGTATTCAGGATGGTCTAGGAGGAGTAAGACCTGTCTTCCAGATTGGAAGAGATGGACTGGATCTGGTCTACATGGAGACTGGCTGGTACAGAACTACGAATCTAAACTGAACACACTTCAGGAATCTCAGACCATTTAAGCCAAGTCACTCGATTACAATGCCAGATAACAAGTTTACACAGACACTGACATACATACATAGGTGCGCACGTGTGCATACACACATTGTGCACGTTAAGTTTTACAGTGTGCAAAAATGAATAGGCATCTATCCTGAACAACAGGAACCAGTCTACAAGGACACATGCACCTCCATGTTTATTGCAGCACTGTTCACAATAGCCAGGATATGGAAACAACCCAGATGTCCCACCACAGATGAATGGGTCCAAAAATTGTGGTATCTATACACAATGGAATATTATGCAGCCATTAGAAATGACAAAATAATGACATTTGCAGGGAAATGGATGGAACTAGAAGAAATCATGTGGAGCGAGGTAAGCCATGAGCAAAGAGACAAACGGCACATGGTCTCCCTGATAAGTGGATGTTAAATCCAAAATGTTAGGTGATAGGACAAAAATTAACAGGACTTAAGAAACAAAGGACTTCCACTCATCTGGTCGAATCACTACTAAATAACCCCATGCTGCTGATCACATATATGGTACATACTTGCACACCGGAGGGAAACCAGGAGGCTGGCACAGAACTAGAGGGAATCAGGGAAAAACATACAACAGTTGGATCCATCAGCTGCACTGGACATTGACCAAAATGAACTAAGCCACTCAATGTCACTGAAGGGAAGGAGGGAACAAGTGGAAAAGAGGGAACAGCTGACGCTATGCAAAACAAAAGAAATGTACATATCACCCAATGTGGAAGAAATAACTGTATTGCAAAGCTCATAGAACTCATAAATGTTATAGACCACGATAGACATTTGCCCCATGAAAGTTAGAATGTGTTTGTGACTTTAACTAAACATCACTATCCCACAATGCTGTGCAATTTGGGAAATTATGTAACCACTTAATCACAATAAAAAAAATTGAAAAAAAAAAACGAGTAACGGGCCGTAGACTCAAACTTGGTGGAGCTTTACTGAGGAAGCAAGCAAGCAGACAAGCAGACAAAGAAGCAGAAAGGAAGGGGCACCCTCTAACAGATTGTGGGCGCTCTCAAGGAAAGACAGAGAGAAAGAGAGATTATAAGACAAGGAAAGTTACTTTTCTAGAAGAGAGGTCTGGGAGGGAGAGGTGAAGGACTTAGCAAGACACAGATCAGACAAAGAAAACCTGAACACATGGAAACTGATCATTTTCATCTGAGTCCCTGCATCATATGTAAGGGAAATGAAATATACTAGGTTTCATGAAGTACCTGCTAGAGTAGGCCATACGCTATTCAGGCAGGAAAAGAGGTTTATTTATCAGACTTCTGCCCCCATAGAGCATGTCCTGTTTGCTGAAACCTTTCAGTAATCCTGTAGAACGTGTGTGTGTGTGTGTGTGTGTGTGTGTGTGTGTGTGTGTGTTGTGTTGTGTTGTGTTTTAACCCTTATCAGAGGAGGAACTGTGGCAAAGGGTTAAGCAAACAACCCACAATCACAGAAGAAAACAGCAACACCCTTCCTGGACTCAAAACGTTATCAGATTCTCCTCTCTAGCCCCTCACCTAACTGTGTGTGTTTTCCAGCCTGGGAACATCCACCTGGCCTGAGGGTTTTGGGGGAATCAACTTTAAACTTCCATTACATCCTGAGAGTCTGAAACTCAGCCGCTTATTTTATTTGGCCATTAACAACGGGGCTTCAACTCAGAGCCTGCGTGCTGTCCCTTAGCTTTCTTTGATCAAGACTCATGGTCTACCCGCTTGAGCCACAGCTCCACTTGCAGCTTTTTTGGATGGTTCATTGGAGATAGGAGTCTCCCAGACTTCTCTCCCCCGGGCTGGCTTTGAACCTGGATCCTCAGATCTCAGCCTCCTGAGTAGCTAGGATGACAGGCGGGAGCCACCAGTGCCTGGCTTTGTTGCCAGGTGGTAAACTTCGACTCTAAAACCTAGATAGCTAGGAGGGGAGGGTTTAAGTCAGCCCTAGGAGATAAAAGTTATTTCCTTACTTACTGTATTCTCTGCTTTCTAAGTAGGCATTAATCTTAAGAGAAACGATGACCTTATGGACAGAGAGCAATTTAAAAATTGGAGAGAGACATTTTTTTTTTAGGAAAGGAATCAAGGGGCTGGGAAGGTGGCTCAGTGGTAGAGCACTTGCCTTACATGCCAAAGGCCCTGGGTTCGATTCCTCAGCACCACATAAGCAAAAAGAAAAAAGCCGGAAGTGGTGCTGTGGCTCAAGTGGTAGAGCACTAGCCTTGAGCTGAATAGCTGAGGGACAGTGCCCAGGCCCAGGCCCCATGACCGGACCCAAAAAAACAAAACAAAAAAAAAGAAAAGAAAAGAGATCAAGAGAGTGGGGTTGGCATGCTATCCCAGGAGAAAAATGAAGCTGGCACCCCATTATTTTGAAAACAAAAGAAAGAGAGAAACTGAAAAATTAGGCTACAGGTGAGAAAGAATTCGAGAAGGTAAGGAAGAAATGTTGTGGGTTTGTTGTTTCTTGGGTTTTTTTCTTGGAAGGGGCGGATGTTGTGGTTTGGTTTTGTTTTTCTGGTCCTAGGGCTTGAACTCAGGACCTGGGCGCTGTCCCTCAGCCTGTTTGTGTTCAAGGCTAACACTCTATAGCTTGAGCCACAGCACCACTTTTGGCTTTTTTTGGGGGTGTACTTTATCCAAGAGAAGTGTAGCTCACAGGGACTTTTCCACCCAGGCTGGCTTCAAACCACAATCCTTCGATCTAAGCCTCCTGAAGTAGCTAGAAGGTTAGGCATGAGCTACCAGCACCCGGTTGTTTTTGTTTCTTAAGATATTTTGAAGCTGTGTACCAGTGGCTCACACCCATAATCATCTTAGCTACTCAGGAGGCTGAGATCTGAGAATCAGAGTGCAAAGTCACCTGGGCCGGAAGGGCCATGAGATTCTTATCCCCAAGGAACCAGCCAAAAGCTGAACTCGGAGGTGTGGCTCAAGTGGTAGAGCACTAACCTTGAGCACAAAAGTTCAGGAACAGCATTCTAATCAAAAGAAGTCTAAATGGACTCCCCTGTGCGCTCTTTCTCTCTTTCGCTCTCTCTGTCTCTTTGTGTGTGTGTGCATGAGAGAGAGAGAGAGAGAGAATGAGAGAGAGTGTCATGGGTCTTGAACTCAGGGCCTGGATGCTGCCCTTAGCACTTTTGCTCAAGCCTAGTGCTCTACCACTTTGAGCCACAGCTCCATTTCTGGGTTTTGAGTGGTTGATTGGCAATAGAATCTCATGGCCTTTCCTACCTGGGCTGGTTTTGAACCCTGATCCTCAGATCTCAGCCCCCTGAGTAGCTAGGATGACAGGTGTGAGCCACTGGTGTCTGGCTTCTATGCCTTTATGTCTCTTTTTCTGTCTCTACCTCTCTAGTTCTTTCTCTCTTTTTCTGAGCCTCTCTCTCTCTCTCTCTCTCTCTCTCTCTCACACACACACACACACACACACACACATCTACTTCAACTAGCAAGCGCTTACACGAACTATTACTTAGCATCTAGTAAGACAGAAAAGATCTTGACAAAGATGACCCCATACAATAAAACACTATCCATCAACTAGTCCACCAATCTATTTGCAATCTAAGAGTTTTAAAACAGGGCATGCAGTACCATAACCCAGGCTAGATCATGAGGGGAACTTTGTCCAACACTTCCTTAAAATACTCTTCCCTCCCTCATTTAAAATCATATGGGTTTCTTGACAGTCTCTACCACCAGATAGCTCAACACCAGAAAAGTAGGAGAGCACTCTTGAATGATAAGGAACTAATGTGAGAATGAATGTCTTGTTCCCCAATTCAGCAAGGTAGGTCAGGGGTGAAATGATAAGGGGGAAGGGGGGAGGGCGGGTCAGTCGTGGGACTTGAACTCAGGGCCTGAGCTCTGTCCCTGAGCTCTTTTGCTCAAGCCTAGCACTCTACCAATTTGAGCCACAGCACCACTTCCGGGTTTTCTGGGGGTTCATTGGACAGAAGAGTCTGATGCACTTTCCTGCCTGGGGTTGGCTTCGAACCAGGATCCTCAGATCTCAGCCTCCTGAGTAGCGCGGATGACAGGTGTGAGCTATCAGCACCTGGTTAAAATGAGGAAATCTTTTGTTCTTCTTCAACCCCCAATGACAATTGCAGCAGAGAAGGAGAGAGGTACCCCCTCACCTTTATTCCCCCCCAACCCCACTCCCAATAAGGGAAAACAGACCCCTATGCGCAAAAGAAATGGAGTTTTCTTGCCCAGAACATTCATGGTCATTTGAAGTTCCTTGTAGGAGATAGGAAGTCTGCTAGAAGGCCCAGAACTCTTCTAATTGGCTGGCTGCACGCCGTGGTGGGAATTGGGACCAATTGGGACCATGAATTCTCCAGTGCCCGGCCTTCCTGTCTCATTCAGAGCAAAGGTGACTGGGTCTGAGAGGAAACTACCCAGCAGTTCCCCATGCAAGATGTTCCAGCCCTCTCTTTTTCCCCCCTTTTTTTCTTTTTTTAATGCTAGTCCCGAGGTTTGAATTCAGGGCCTGGGTGCTGTCTCCAAGCTTGTGTGCTCAAGGCTAGTTTTGTGTTCTACCACTTGAGCCCATTGCTCCACTTCTGGCTTTTTGGGGACTTGTTGACATGAAGAGTCTCACAGACTTTCCTGTCCAGGCTGGCTTCGAACCAAGATCCTCTGATGTTCAGCCTCCTGAGTAGGTAGGATGACAGGCGTGAGTCACTGGGACCTAGTATTTCTGTATCTGTGACAGATGGAATTTGATCTCTCTCTCTCTCTCTCTCTCTCATGATCATAGGAACTCTGATGACTTTCCAAATCATGGCTGCTGGATATGGTATGGTACTTGTAAACTGACATGTTTATAAAACCCCTTTGTAAAACTGCTTAAAGATAATAATAATAATAATAATAATAATAATAATTGCAGTAGGACATCAGTGGCTCACATTTGTAATCCTTGCTACTTAGGAAGCTGAGATCTGAGGATTGAAGTTCGAAGCCAGCATGGGCAGGAAAGTCCATGGGACTAGTCAAAATAAATAAGAAAAATAATAATGAATAGGCTGGGAAGGTGGCTTAGTGGTAGAGTGCTTGCCTAGCATGCATGAAGCCCTGGGTTCGATTCCTCAGTACCACATCCACAGACAAAGCCAGAAGGGGCGCTGTGGCTCAAGTAGTAGAGTGCCAGCCCTGAGCAGAAGCATCTCAGGGACAGTGCCCAGGCCCTGAGTTCAAGCCCCAGTGTACACACACACACACACACACACACACACACACACACACGAGTGATTAAGCCTGGGATGCACCTGTCACTCTAGCATAGACTTGCTGTGCAAAAAAGATCATTACAGGCTCCTCCATTCTTGCCTGCCTCCCCTCCTCAGCAACTCTGGGCGAGCTGCTCCGAGGGTTCAAGGGCTCCACGGCTGTACTTTCTGACAGCGGCTAAAACAAAAGGCACAACCGTAGTCAGGCAGATTTAGAACAAGGGAAAGGCAGGAAGGAGGCTTGGAGCCCACCACTGTGAGCTCTTTTGAAATTTATAGATAGGGGTTCAAATCCTGCCCCCTAGCGGCTGCTTCGTGCATCTCCCAGAAACCTGCAAAGCTCTGCCCTCCAGGGGACTCCTGACTTCCCTCGAGTGACCCAGTCCCTGTCTCCCCACCGTCAACTCCCACCCATGAGCTAAAGTAGGGAAGAGTGGTCCTGAAGAGTCTCACGGACTTTCCTGCCCAGGCTGGCTTTGAACCTTGATCCTCAGACCTCAGCCTCCTGAGTCACTAGGATTGCAGGTTGTGAGCCACACTAGCTCCTGGTTCACCATCAACTGGTTTGTTTTGTTTGTTTGTTTGTTTATTTTGCTGGTCCTGGGGCCTCCACTCAGAACCTGGGCGCTGTCTGTGAGTCTCCTCGTGCTCAAGGCTGGCATTCTACCCCTTGAGCCACAGTGCTACTTCCCGCTTTTTCTGAGTCTATTATTGGCACTAAGAGTCTCACAGGAACTCTTCTATCTGGGTTTGGCTTCAAACTGCAATCCTCAGACTTCAGCCTCCTGAGTAGTTGGGATGACAGGTAGGTGAGCCACCAGCTCCTGGCTTCCATGATCAATTCTTAACATGGTTAATTGCACACCTAGTAAGTGTAGACACAGCATGTCCAGAAGAGGGCGCTCCAGCTCTTGGGGTGCTAGGCTCCACCTCTGCCTGGCAAATCCTCTCTTCTTAGATTTCATTCTGGAACTTGAACTCCATATCCAATGCTTTCACACCTTGGCTGTCACTCTACTGCCTGAGACACGTTTCCAACCTCTCTTTCTCTCTCTTTTTTTTTTCCCCTCCCTACATTACAGTTTCAATGTCCGGGCTGCACTCTCATCTAAACAAATCATAATATCTGAGGAGGAAAGATTCAGGCCAGTAGCTTTCTGTTGTTGTTTGTTTTATTTCGTTTGTTTTACTTTTGTGCCAGTCCTGGGGCTTGAACTCAGGGCCTAGTGTGTTGTTTCTTAGCTTTTTTTTTCCTCCCCTAACTCAAGGCTGGTGCTCTACCACTTGGATCACAGCTCCACTTCGGGCTTTTGTGCTGGCTCATTGGGAGATAAGAGTCTCACAAACTTTCTTGTCCGGGCTGGCTTTGAACTACGATCCTCAGATCTCAGCCTCTTGTGTAGCTAGGATGACAGGCATGAGCTCAGATTTTAAGTTATTGTGGCCCAACATGGTAGAATGCTAGCTTTGAATCCTGAGCTCAGCTCAAGGACAGCACCCAGGCCCCGAGTTCAAACCCTACCACTTCCAAAAATAAAAAATGGGAGAAGAGCCAGTGAGTCCTGAGCCCATGGCTCATGCTGTCATCCTAGCTACACAAGAGGCTGAGATCTGAGGATTGTGGTTCAAAGCCAACCCTCTCAGTTAAGTCTGTGAGACTCTTCTCTCCAATGAACCACCAGAAAACCCGAAGTGGCGCTGTGGCTCAAGTGGTAAAGCGCTCACCTTGAGCTGATGAGCTGTGGGATAGTGTCCAGGCCCAAAGTTCAGGCCCCCAGGACTGAGGAAAAAAAAAAGTGTTCCTACTAACCACCAGAATTCTGCAGAATTCTGTGCCTTGCCTGCACATGACACTTACCCATGGCATTGTTCCATGAGTTATACGAACAGCTCATTGGACCTAGCCTGACTCAAGTGCAACCTCATAGCATCCTGCCCAGCCCCTGAGGACAGGGTTCCTGGAGAGAAGCCAACATTGGAGCAAGAACATTGGAGGAGATCATCGGAGCAAGAGAGACACATTGATCGATCATCACAGAAGGCAAGTTGCTCTGATAGGGATCTGCGTGTGAGTGACACTCCTGCCGGTGAACTTGAACTCCAGAACCAGATCATGGGTGACTGAGTGTGGCCTATTAGTAGGCAGCCGACCGTACAAAAAGAGAACTTCACCTCCTCCCACCCCATAGGTCCCACAGTTGTTCAGAGTCCAGATTTACTTCATCTAACAGGAAGTCAATACTTCCTTCTTGCTCAGTACCTTGAATCTTGAAATTCATCAAGCCTTTTCAAAGGACAGGAGAATAGCCCTGAGCAGGTAAGGGGCATTTTGTCTGTTCTGTGTTGTCCGTTATCACTGCGGTGGACTAGTTCTTGCTTAAAGATTTTTATCTATAAAGCAATCGTGAGTGGAGCAATGCTAACAACACTGAGTGATTTGTAAGGTTGGGGGGGGGGTCAGGTATTAAATAGTTTTGTTTTCTGTTGGGTTGTTTTTGCTTCAAAGAAATGCATTCTTCATTTTGTTTTGCTTTTGGGTCTGGTTGTGGGGCCTGAACTCTGGGCCTGGGCGCTGTCCCTCAGCTCTTCAGCTCAAGGCTAGTGCTC